AGTGTATTAACAGCGGATGAACAGTTGTTCCACATCCGGACTGCTGTGAACAGTGCACTGTAGACATGCATGTGCAGATGCCATTGGGGTATGCCAGCTTAGACTCCTTTGGTATAACATCAAGAAGTGAAAGTGTTGGATTGTTTGTGGTAGTTTAATTTTCGGGTTTTTGAGGAACCCAAGAGTGCTGATTCCTATCATGAGTGACTAACTCACATTACCACCAGCAGTGTCTAAGGATTCTACCTTCTCTTGGTCCATATTTATTGTTGCTGTTTTTCTTTATGGTAAATTCTGATTAGACTCTGACCAAAAAAAATGTTGCAGTAAAACAACTAAAGAAAGCCTTTATCTTTTTAATTTGCAAATATTGAAAGGAGGGCTGTTGGCAGCTTTATATTGTAATTGTCAGGTTTTGTAGAAATGAAATTATACTTCCATGACATGAGTGCACCTGCAAAATGCCTCTTGTCAAGAAATTTTTATTGATGATAATTATTGCAGTTATCACATTTTTATGAAAGAGATCAGGTGTTTTAGAATCTTCTAGAATGTCCATCAGGATTGCTCAGCACCTTCTGATCAGCCCCAAGGGAACTCTTCCTGTGATAAGAACCACCAAGGCATTTGAGGGAAGGGCAGTCACAATGACTAAGGCACACAGTGACTCAGGAACACTGGGAAGTGTGCTGGCTCAGGACTTGCATCTCAGTGTCCTCAGCTTCTTTTGTGGTCAGACTGATTTTGGAAGGGGTGCGTGCCCTTGCTTTTTAAGATGTTTAAGTCATCAGAACAGCACAGTCCAGGGGAGCTGGTGTGCCTACTTCAACATGGAAAAGTCTGAAAACCTTAGGAGTAAATGTGTTGTTCATACCCACTGGGCCAGGTACAGGGGACTAAAACACAAACCAGGCTGTTTCCACATTCACCTTGAATGGAGTATGAAATATCAGAGACAGGTAACATGGCAGCACAGGGGATGATTTTCCTCTGAAAAGAGCAGGCTACAGAAGATGGTAATATTTTCCCTTAAATAGATGGCTAGCCCCCTATAAGAGAGTGGGTGTTTAGATTGTTTTATAGATCATAGAGAATAGAGAGTTTTGCAAAGGATTGACTAGCATCCCACACTAACTGCTCAGATTCATTTAATTAGAGTTCTTTGCAGCCTGGTGTACAAACAGGCTGGGAGTCATCCATGAACAGAGGACCACCTTAGAAAAAAGCAGTGCATCAAAAATGAGCTTGATTGCTGAATATAACATTTTTCTCTTTTTAACACTGACTTATTGGAACACCACATGAGGGGGCACACCACACACCACATGAGGGGGCATCAGTGCTACAGAACAGGTACTCAGCATGACATGATTTGTGAGGGAAACATTCTATTTCCCACTCAGACTGTGTGTTGCTATGAAACCATCTAAAACCTGTTCAGACATTGTTGAATTTTAAAAGTGACCTAACATGAGCTTCCCAAACAATCAAGCAGAATTAGGAGTCTACTGTGGTATGGAGCCAGCCCGTTCTCACTACCTACCACATGTATGTTTTTTGTTTGAGGATTTGGTTGGTAGACAGGGACCTGGTTGCCGCTCATGTGTGGGCTGATGTTAATCACCATGTCTTTCATCAGAATACTTTTTGAAGTTATTCATTAGAAATTTTATGTAGTCATAGTATTTATAGCCTAGAGAAAAGGAAATATGGCTTTAACCAAGGAACTTGCTGCTGATTCTTACCAAGAAATGAACTGTGGGTCTGGGGAATATTGTGTTGTGCTTGCAAAACATGCACAAGGCCCTAGGGTTGATCCCTAGCACTAGGAAATCAGGGAGGAATGGAGAGGAGGGTAAAAGGAGAGAGGGAAATAAAAGGAAGACAGGTACTATGACCCATTTTGATACACATGAAAATATGTACATAATGAATATAATTATATATGTTAATGTACACCATAAATGTTTATAGAAATAAAGCTTTCATGGAATGGACTTAAGATTTTCCTTATTACGTAAATTGCCATTGAATATTTTCACTTCAATCATATTTCCTAAGAAGCTATGTAGATTACTGAACTGATTTCAAGGCTCATAGACTGAATGCACTGAGCTGAGCAGCCTGTCCGTGTCCACCAGTGGATGACTGCAGCATCATTGTAAGTGGGACAGGTACTTAAAACGATGCTGTATTTGACCTCCCAGTTAACGTGAAGAATTATACATCCGGTGGTTCATTTAGTCAGGCCAATTTGTTGTGAAATGACCTTTCCTTAAATTGCATTTGCTGAAGGCATGACTAATAGTCCTTTATTGTATTAAAGGTTCAACAAAAATCAGTTGCTAGATGGATGGACATGTTTTACTCTCTGACATTACATTATTTGAAATGTCAATAGCAATTTACCTTATGGTACCATAAATGGAGGAATACATACTTGTAGGCTAGATCTCTAGGAGCTAGCGCCACACCCTTGCTGTGTTGTTTCACATCTTTATGTGTGTGTATACACACACATATATGTATATGTCATGATATGTAAGTAAAGCCTTTATGTCCAGCTTTAAGTGACATGTTTAGTAGAGTCTTTGTGACTGACTTGGGGAGAAATGTTTCAACAAAGCCTTTGCTATGTTTGAGTTAATCAATAGAGGCTAAGAAATTGTTTGGGGACCATTTGAACCTTGGAGAAATGTCTCTCTGAAGACTCTGCACTTGGTGCTATGGGAAAGCTTGCAGCTGCACTGACCTTGGTTCTAAGACACTCCTGGCAGCCCTGGCTAAACACTCCCGGCTAGCCATCATCGAAAGGGACTGAGATCTGTGTGGGTTGTCTGCTTTCATGGGCAGCAAGAGCAAGATAACTTTGTTAGTTGGAACCTTTCACAGCCTCATCTAACCTTTTATGTTTGAATAAAGTAACTGGAGTGAGCTAGCTGGGTGTCAGTGTTTTCCAAGAAAGCTGAACCCCTCTGCTTCATCGGAAAATGAAGGCTTAGCATCTTGGTGAGTTTCTCTATCTACTGCGGTACCTACAACTCAACATCAAACAATATGTATATGTGTATATGCAAATATATGTGTTTGTGTGTGATATGTGTATATGTGTGTATTGTATATATTGTATATATTTGCATAAACATATATATTCGGTTTTTCAAGGCAGGGTTTCTCTGTGTAGTCTTGGCTGTCCTGGAACTTGCTCTGTAAATTAAGCTGGACTCAAACTCACAGAGACCTTTCTGCCTCTGCCTCCCGAATGCTAGGATTAAAAGTGTGTACCACCACAACCTGGCCTAAAACAATACATTTAAGATAATAGTTTGAAGCAAATATAAGTAATACTTTCTGAGGCAGTTGTTCCAAAATTTAGAATCAAGATTTTTTGAAATTAGAATGAAATCTATGATTTGTCTACCAGAGTAGACAAATTTTATCCCAACCAGCAAGATACGAATGGTGGTCCCTGATAAACCTAGGGGAGAGGAATGGAGGGGCAAGAGACAAGGAAAATAATGGTAAGACAGAATTTCTGATCAAACCGCCATTTATTATTCCTTCAGAAGCTGTTATATAGCAAATGGGCAAGGGGGAGGGAAGATGTGTCAGGTCTGCTGGAATTCAGGCCTGGAGACATCCCTAGCTGATAAGTAAATACTGGGGGTCTGTGATGTTGACTAACAAAAGAAAAGCTAATGTTTTCTAAAAGCCTGGTGCCTGCAAGTCTCACTAGGCTAATGTCCTAGGTCTGGAACTTGCCTGCAAAGGTGAATATCTTACTTGTGAATTTAAGATGGCTGTAAACAAAACACAGATCTCATAATACAGGTCTTTGCTTCCGGCAAAATTTATTGTTATTGTTGTTTTCGAGACAGGGTTTCTCTGTGTAGTTTTGGAGCCTCTCCTGGCACTCGTTCTGAAGACCAGGCTGGCCTCAAACTCACAGAGATCTGCCTGCCTCTGCCTCCTGAGTTCTGGGATTAAAGGCGAGTGTCACTACTGCCCAGCAAGTAGACAAAATTTTAATTGTGTAGTGTCAACACGTGAGTGAGTCTTTCACTTGAATGGTTTACCCACTAGTCACACTATAGCTTCAAGTCAGTCAGCAGCTCTTATAAGTACCCTTTCTAGGGGGTGGACAAATGGCTCAGTGGTTAAGAGTGCTTTCTGCTCTTCTAGAGAACCCTAGTTCAGTTGGAAGAACCTTCATGGGTGGCACCTATATGTAACTCCAGCTCCAGGAAATCTGACACTCTATTCTGGTCTCCACAGGTACCCACACGTATGTACAAACACACACACACACACACACACACACACACACACAAATAAATATATATAGTAAAATATTTTTAAGACAGAGGAATGAACAAAATACCATACTTGGTACAAACCCTTACGTTTGTGCTCATTCAGCTGTCCTATCTCCTGGATAAAGAATAGAACCAATCTAGGAGGTGAGTCTGTCCATATGTCTGTCTGCCAGCGAAGCACATCAGCCCTGCTGTGAGGGAACAGGGACTAAGGATGGCAGACAGCCCCCTAGGGGTATTTACAGCAGAGCCCAAAGTTCCCACCAGTCATATGGCTGAGATACATCTCAGGGCTTCTCTTCGCTTTAATGAATCAATTAGGGTACTTATTTTTAAAAACCACCAGAATGCTGTAACTTTTAATAAATATCACATAGACTGTCCAGCACTGAACACAAACCCCATCTGAATTGCAAAGCAAAGCTGTAAAAACCACATTAGTGGGGAACCACTGCCACCTTCTGCCCACATAGCTTAATTGCAATTCCAAGTTTGGGCAAGACAGTATAGTGCACGTATGTTCGCCATGGACACTTACTATAAAATGATAGAAAATGCAACTCGCTTGCTGTGCCAAGGATGGGAGAGAATATACATTGCTAGCGTTGGCTTTGGATTTGCCCCTCCCACCTCACCTTAGCTGTCCCAGACCCAATCTCATGTGTTCTCTGCACTTCTTGGCAGGATTGGAGGCGCCATTCCTACCGTGTTCTCCTACTTCGCTGAAGTCCTAGCCCGGGAGAAGCGGGGTGAGCACCTCAGTTGGCTCTGCATGTTCTGGATGATTGGTGGAATCTACGCGTCAGCCATGGCCTGGGCCATCATCCCACACTACGGTAAGGGATTGGCCATGTTCCCGCTTCCCTCTCCATCCGTTTCCTCTCTGTGCTGAGCTCTGGCTTGGGGACAGGGCTGTCCTCGTCAGGTGTCTGCCACTCATAATGCTCAGGAGGTGTTCTTCTCCATGGGGAGGTCTGTATAAAGACAGTGTCAAATGGTCCTTTGGGCATGTGGATAGAAGAGGCAGGACTCCTGTGCTGCTCTTGCACAGTAAGAGTTGGTGGTCACCCCATCCTCCACTTTCCCCATAGCTGCGATTCCTTCAGGCTAACCCATCTCTGACACTGTCTATCTAGGTTCAGAGTCAGGTCCCACAGGTTGAGGATTCTATCCCGCACGACTGACCTGTTTCTGATGCTTCAGATGCCAACTGCAAGTCCAGGCCTCCTCTGAGTGACCAGCTAGAAATTGAAGCTTTCCACAATCCTCCTCCTCATGTGCAGCTGGTTTCTATAATGGCTCACAGATCTCAGGGAAATGCCTACATTGAATTTCCCAATTTATTATCAAGGAAGTTACAGAGGATACAAGTGAGCTGCCAGATGCCGACATATGGGGGGAGCAAAGAACCACACCTCCAGGTTCACCATTCTCCATGCGTTCAGCAACAGAGAGCTTCCAAATCTCATAGTTCATGGGTGCGGTCAGTTAATAACCCAGGCTTTAGCCAGAGGATGGGGTCAATAACTGTGGTATATCTTTCTGGTGACCCGCTCTACACAGAAACACTTCAAAACATGGCTCATCTAAACAAAGACGTCCCTATCTCCCAGATAACTCCAGAGGGTGAGGTCTCTGTGTTGTGAGCTGGGAATGAAGTTCTGCCACAGTTGTACTGGGAATCACAGCAGTCCAGTCAATGTCAACATCTTTTTCTTCTGTTGCCCTCACTCTCCTGTATTTGCTGTAGCTATCGAGCCTGACTTAGGGTTGAAGTCAGATTCCTACAATTCAGGAGGGACATAGACACTCCACAGGGCATTATCCGGAGTGATAACGCCACCAACGGTGTTTATAGAGATGTGACCTCCCACCTCTCTTGAGACTGTCATACACTTCAGATGCACACAGGCACCAGGTCTGTGTCAGCCAAGCTCTGTCTGTCTTCAGACAACTCAGTGGGGAGAGGAGCAAGACTGCGTCTCATAGACCATGATCTGTAGCACATACGTGGTGACACTGCCTAGCCACTCTCCAGACCCTCTCATCCGTCTCTCCTCAGCCATTGCCACGCTTGCTTCCATGAACAGTAAAAGTCTGAGCAATACTCTCAATCTCAGAAAACACAAGTTTCAAGTTGCTTCATCTACAAACAGTGAAGTACAGAAATCAACAAGAATCAAACTCAGTGTGCAGGAAGAAGGAAAACTAACTCCCCTTCCTTCTTCCCTCTCTTTCTCCCTCCCCCCATCCTCCTCTCCCATCCCTTTGAATAAGCTAATGCTTGTAAAGTAGAAATACTGAATAAATTAAAACTACACATGACTTCAGACTGGGGGACCAGGGATGTGTCTCAGTAGCAGAATGCTTGTCGGACAAGCCCAAGGACCTGGATCCAGACTCCTGCATTGAAAAACAAACAAACAAAAACATGGCCTACTCTTCGTTCTTAAAATCTGATAAATCAGGTCAAATTAGATTACTTTTTAAATCCATTTGCTTATTTTCTATTTTTATTTCTTTTGAGAACAGTACAATTTCTCATGATAAAGCATAATTTTGAGAGGTCTCCAACACACGTAGACAGATGTGGGTATCCCAAGGTGCTGTTGTTTGCTTTGTCGTATGGAGCACAGATATTGTGTTGTCTCAGTCTTCCTTCTGATAAACCTAAAAAGTTATGTAAAGGCCAAAACCGTATTTAAAAACAAGAACAAAAATCAAGACAAGGATTGTCATGGTCTGTAGAGAGCTTCCCTTTGCTGAGTGCTGAAGTTGTGAATGGCGTTCTAGCCCAAGTGGTTTCCAGTTGATTCTGGGCCAAAGGTGCCTTCGGGTGGCCAGTTCCTCCAGAACTGTCTTCGGTCACCATCCAAGAAAGCAGAAATTGTCTCCTTTACCTGGGACCTCAGGACCTCAGCCACCCTCATAACCTTAGATTGTAGAGCAGCGTTGAGTCCAGGCCCCTCTCAGCTCAGATTAACACAGAAAGAAAGACCCCTGAGAAGTTACTCTGTGGGAACTAGGGAAAGCAAAATGTAAACTCAGACCTTCTGCCAAGTCCAGCCTTACTCGCCATGGTTCTCAGAGCTACTGCTGGTCCACTCACACACAGCCTTTTTAGCCATTAAAGTAAGGTGCTTGTGGCCAGTGGGACGGCTCAGCGGCTCAGCATATGTATTGCTTTTGCAGAGGACCTGAGTTCAGTTGCCAGCACCCACATCAGACAGATCACAACTGCCTGTTAACTCCAGCTGCAAGGGTACCCAGCATCTCTGGCCTCCATGGTCACTGGTGGCACTTAAGTGCACATACCCTCACCACAAACAAACACATACAAGTAATTAAAGATAATAGAAATAAATCCTTAAAAAGTAAGGTGCCCTCTGGGTGGGCAAAATTATAGCCCTATTCATCCTTTTTACATGGGTTCCAGGGAGATTGCTCTCTTTCTCTGTCTCTCTGTCTCTCTGTCTCTCTCTCTCTCTCTCTCTCTCTCTGTCTCTCTGTCTCTCTCTCTGTGTGTGTGTGTGTGTGTGTGTCTTTGTCTCTCTCTCTCTCTGTCCCTCACTCACTCTCCTCTTTCTCTCTTCCCTCTCTCCCTCCCCACTGCTCCCATTTAACCCTCTCTAAGCCAGCCTTCTCCTTTGTCCTATCCTCCCATGACACCTTTTTTCCTTGGCTATAGCCAAACCTCTCTGGAACTCCTTGGTTCCTTGGGTTTATTGCAGATCCCTTCCTGGCCCTCCCTTCCCATTGTGTTACTCAGGGTCTCATCTGCTGGCCATGCAGCTGAGGCCATGTGTTGACTTCTGCAAGCTGTTCATTGCTTTTCTTTTGCTTTCCCTGCTCAGGATTCAGCTCTTCTGATTTGCCCTTGCACTTCCCTGTCTTGCAATTGTGCATGGCCTGATGGCCTGAGAACCTTTTTCTTTGCCATGCATCAGTGCCTAATACACAGGAATCAGCGTGTGCAAGCTCTGCCATTTTAATCTCAAAAAGGACAAACTAATTCATCCACAACTAACCTGCCTATCAAAACCAATCCATCTCTGACGAGCCCGTCTCTGCCCGTCATGGTAGAAGGTCACACATCACAAAGCCACTTGTGAAAAGTGAGAATGTAACAAAATGAAATGTCTGGGCTGACTTTAATTTTGATGATGTGGGTGGAACCTTGAGAAGTAACGACCTGGGCAGTAAAGCAGTCACGAAATATTAAAATCTTGGGGCCATATTTTCCTGAAGTCTTTCCATGGCCATAAGTGTAGAGCCAACAACATATCACTTCAATCAGCCCTGTCTGCAGGTTAGAACCAGCAGGGGGAATTCTTGTGAAACACCCTTTCTGGAGTCACTGCTGTGCTCTTGGATGGTAGAGTCTTGTTTGTTTTTTCAAAGCTAAAATCCAGACGCTCTTATGATGAGGTGTCTGTCAGTGAGGCTGCTGTCCTATGGGTGGGTTCTTTCCAGTGTGCTCCTTCCCAGAATCCCCTAGCCAGGTGCTCAAGAATTGTCTACATCTATGGAAAATATACTTTTCTGGAAATGTTTTCAGTAAGTTTTCTACTTCCCACAATCAAATCAGATCCTCCAGGCTAAGGACTCAGTGCTGTCTTTATTCTTATTCTTTTTAGCATAAAGTAAGTATGACTGACAAATACAAATTATATATAGTTGGTGTTCACAACCTAACTTTGTATACATGCAAGATGGCTCAGCCAATAAAAGCTCTTGTCATGATCTGAGTTAGAGCTCTGGAACCCACATGGAGGAAAGAGAGAATTGACCAAAGCTACCCTTGAACCCAGCATGGGCACCAAGTTGCACACACATCTACACGCATACACACAATAAAATAAATAAATAAATGCAAAAAGTAGTTTTAGAGAAAATAGAGCATTAAATGTTTAGGGGAAAGCTTTATATTTTCACTCGAAATTCTGTTTTGTATGAATGATCCAGAAGCCCAGGAGCAGGTCATTTGCTCCTCCTCCGCTTCTCCATCCTCTCTCACTGAGGAGATGTTTGAGGACCGCTATTATTGTAGGGCTGTGTATGGATACATTTGAGAGCACAGCACAGTGACCTGAAGTTTGGTGTTGGTTTTCTCAGATGGAGGGAAAGTGTGGCTAATCGGCGTCCACATCGCAGATATGCTTCAGGTGGATGAGTGCACACATGAGGGTGGCTCATGCACACAAGGCTCTCTTGACGGCCCCTATGCCAGGTGCTTCTTTCCTGCCTACGGGGCACAACCATCAGTAGGGAGCCTGAGCCTGATGTCACTGAGATGCAGCAGCTCCCCACAAGTCTTCAAGGCAAAGCAGCCCTTATGTTTGGTCCAAGGATTCTGAAAGGATTCTTGAGCAGTTAGATACACCACCAGGGGTTTGGATGGCTTCATGGCCTGGTGAGTTAAGACACGAGCTGCTAATGCTAGGAGCTAATGCTGGGAGCTAATGCTAGATAATGGGATCGGCCTAGTTTTTGTACCAGCATCAGATAATGATGGCACTTTCCCTCACATTATCAGTCTTTGGTAAAGCTGAAACCTTACCCAGAGATGGGCAGTTGCTAATATCTGAAGGTTTCCAGCATAAAATCTCACGCCTATAATCCTAACACTAAGTAGGGCTGAGACAGAAGGATTTCCATAAGTTCAAAGCCCTCTGGGCTACATTTCAGCACAGCTTGGGTTACACAACGAAGCCCTGCCTTGATCTCCATCCCCTCCTCTTCCCCTTTCCCACATCCCTCTGCCCCACCAGCTAACTAGGTGTAGGGAGTGTGACTATCCTGGGCACCCATTCTCAAACCCAAGTTTCTGGTCTCA